AAGCTGATGGACATGAGCTCAGTAACCGCCCATCCCCGTTTGCCCAGGACAGAGGGGTGTGTGAGGATGGGGGAGCTTCGGTGCAAAAACCGACAAAATCCCAAGCAAATGGGGATGAGGTGGTCACCCTACTTTGAGCCTATGGTTTGAACTTGTCGACTGTGAGCTTCACTAGCAGGGACCTGGCGAGGACATTTTTGTGGAGAGCTTTTATGTCACTATTTTATTTTAAAGATTTTATTTATTTCTTTGAGAGAGAGAGAGAGAATGAGAGATAGAGAGCACGAGAGGGAAGAGGGTCAGGGGGAGAAGCAGACTCCCCACTGAGCAGGGAGCCCGATGCGGGACTCGATCCCGGGACTCCAGGATCATGACCTGAGCCGAAGGCAGTCGCCCAACCGACTGAGCCACCCAGGAGCCCGTATGTCAATATTTTTAAGGGTTTCATCTTACGCCAGTCAGAATCCTCCGAGAAGCAACTTCCAGTCTCCTACCTGGAGAGTTGAGATCTGCGTGCTGGGGTTCGGGAGTCTTCAGCACACAGATCCAGACACCGTGTTGTTGTAGAGCGTCTTCATCCTCAGCTGTGCCAGGCAGCCCTCAGTCGCTCCATCAGTCTCAGTGTGTCGGCCTTGCCACCTTCGCTTTTACAGGATGCTGACACAACTCCCGACGGCACCACACCCTCCCGAGACTGAAGGAGGGGAGGACAAGAAGGGCTTCCTGCCTCACGCCCCCATCCCCGCAGGTCTCAGCGAGGACAATCTTTCCCAGAAGTCCCCGGCACACTTCTGCTTAGTCTCATTGGTCAGAGCTGGGTCACATGACCACGCTTGGCCCAATCATTGGCAGAAGCACCAAGGGGCACAAAACTGGCTTTTACTGAGTATGAGTCATTGCCTCTGTCCGGGTACCTTGATGCTAGAACGTCAGAGTTTGTCGGGGGTGGGGAACTTGAAGGTGGGTAGACCACCAAAAATGGCTGCCTCTGAGTGTATATTAGCACAGCACTGTTTTAAGTCCCAGCTGGGGCCTAGGAACTATAGTTCTAAGGGTCTCTCACCCTTTTAAGTACTCTGGTGCATCTGAACTTTGACCTTCCCTGGAAGGGGGTCTGGTTGGGCCATTTGGGGGAAAGGTTCTTATAAAACTGAACATATCTAGGGGCGCCTGGGTACCTCAGTCCTTAAGCGTCTGCCTTTGGCTCAGGTCATGATCCCAGGTTCCTGGAATTGAGCCCCGCGTCGGGCTCCCTGCTTGGTGGGAAGCCTGCTTCTCCCTCTCCCACTCCCCCTGCTTGTGTTCCCTCTCTGGCTGTCTCTCTCTCTGTCAAATAAATAAAATCTTAAAAAAAAAAAAAACTGAACATATCTAAGACCTGGTTGAGAGGTGCCTACCTGTATGCATGAGGAGGCTCTTGGAAAAGAATTCACCTAAAAAAAGAAGGGGTTGATTCCATCACTATTTCAGCCGCCGTTTATTGAACACCTGCTGTGTGCCAGGTCAGGGCTAGTGGTGAACATGGTGTAAATGTGAAGAGGAAGAAATTGTCACTCCGATCACCCTCCATCCCAGCGCCCACAGACTCATAGTATATCCAAGGGAGAACGACCTCTATTAAAATAAGGAAGATCTGCAAGAGCAGTTTCTATAAAAACATGCTGAGCACTTAGCAGCACTGCATCAAAGCCTGAATGAGAAAACACAGATGGCACAAGGGGGGGGGGGGCAGAGGGGACTTATCTGTTTGTGCCATTTGTGCTGTGAATGGACACAGTGGCCTGAGCACCCAACCAGCGCAGCCCATCTCCTGCCCAGAGAAGTCAGGGGAAGGCGGCAGGCTTTGAAGAGTGGAGTGGGGCCAGCAGGTGAAGGAGGCACTGGCCCCGCCAGCAGCTCTCAGCAGTCTGAGGGCAGGATTGGGGGAGGGCACAGCTCTAAGGAGAGCCAGTGCCATTAAAAAAGGAGCTAGAGGGCACCTGGGTGGCTCAGTAGTTAATCTGCCTTCCGCTCAAGTCATGATCCCGGAGTCCTGGGATCGAGCCCCGCATCGGGCTCCCTGCTCAGCAGGAAGCCTGCTTCTCCCTCTCCCACTGCCCCTGCTTGTGTTCCCGCTCTCGCTGTGTCTCTCTCTGTCAAATAAATAAATAAAATCTTAAAAAAAAAAAAATGGAGCTAGGAGGGTCCAGGTGTTTACAAGACAAGCAAGCCAGACATTCTTGGACTCTCCCAAGACCAGTCAGGAGGAACTTAAGGAGAGCTGGAGTGCCTTTAGATCTGCTGGGGGTGACTATAGTGTCGATATGACCTATTTTTATCCATGGGCTGGTATGTGGGGATGAAACATGGATTTCAGAATTTAGGGAGAATTAGAGGAGGGACCCATCAATGGATGCTTACTCTGTGCTGATGTTGCTGCCTCTATAAATTTGCACAAGTTTATAATTATTATTTGCTTGAGTTTATTATACACAAAAATAGAAAAAAACAGCATAATGAGGTGCCACATACCCATCACCCAGCTTCAAAAATGATCACTACACGCCCAGTCTGGTTTCATCTATCCCACTTCCTCCTGATACTATTTTGAGGCAAATACCAGATTTTATCATTTTGTCCATAAATATTTCAGTATGCATCAAAAACATAAGGGCTGTTAAAAAAAAATGACCACAATACCACAATACCAAAACATGACCACATTAAAAAATTAGTAAGTCCTTAATGTCATCGAATAGCCAGGTGGTGTTCAAATTTTCAACTGTCTCATAAATGTCATAGGCTTTTTTACAGTTCGTTTCTGAATCCAAAGAAGGTCCCCATATTCTATAAATCTTAAACTCCTAGGGAATTCCAGATCGAAACCAAAGCCAGAACAAAATTGGATTTCTCTATCCCTACTTTATATTTTATGAAATTGCAATAGTGGAGAGGGTATTTTTTTCTTATTAAAAAAAACGTTCAAAAGCAATGTCGCTAGTAGTTATGAAAGCTATTTCCGTGGGCCCCAGGGTTCTAGCCTCATAACTAGAAGCACTTGGCAATTTGACTGCCCAGCAATGTTGGCAGGAGAGTCATTTCCCACTGGCATCTGTCCGGATTGCAGTGTTCCTCCTGTAAACGCCACCCACCCTCACGATCCTCTCTGAGGCCCGAGTCAGAGGGGTCAGGTGCCAAAACAGCTGTCAGGGGGCTCCCAAGAATTCCATGAACTTTGGGGTTGCCCAAAGATCCAACTTGGTGCATTCTAATACAGATCCTAAACATGCCAGGCGGGGACTTGTCTCCTCACTCACAGCAGATTCTGTCAGCAGAATAGACCAGTCCTCTGGGAGATGAGGCCCCCGAGATGAGCTGGAAAAAGACAAGGTTAGCGGGCGCCTGGGTGGCTCAGTTGGTTAAGCAACTGCCTTCGGCTCAGGTCATGATCCTGGAGTCCCTGGATCGAGTCCCACATCGGGCTCCCTGCTCAGCAGGGAGTCTGCTTCTCCCTCTGACCCTCCCCCCTCTCATGTGTTCTCTCTGTCTCAAATAAATAAATAAAATCTTTAAAAAAAAAAAAAAAAAGACAAGGTTAGCTATTAACTGCCCTTTGAAGGATTTGAGGTTAGCAGCCCTCTCCACCCCTGCCCCCCGCAGTGGTCCTCCTAGCAGACCCACTTGGAGAGAAATAGTGCATACAGAGGCGGGGAGCATTCTGTGCTAATTAGCTCCTTGTAGCTCCCTGTGATTGTTAATAAATCCTTTGATTCTCCAGTACATGAGAGTGTTGTTGTAAGTGACGAGCATATGTGAGTAGGGATGGTTAACGTGAAATCACACACCCAGGAAGGAACACACGCCCTACAACCGGGACACCCTGGCCTTATAAAATCTCTCCGTTTCTGGGCCTTGCTGCTGCAAACGGAGGGGTTGGGTTGGAAGCCATTCACTCTGGTCTCCTGCTTCTCCACTGGGAGTTTTGTTGAGGGGCTGTATTCCTTTGCTAGGGTTGCTGTAACAAAGCACCGCACACTGGCTGATTTACCACAACAGATGTGTATCGTCCCACGGTTCTGGAAGGCTGAAGGCCTAACTCAAGGTGTCGGCAGGACTGTGCTCTCTCTGAGGGCTCCAGGGGAGCGTCCTTCCTCGCCTCCTCTGGCTTCTGGGTCTGCCGGCAATCCTTGGTGTTTCCTGGCTTGTGGGTGGCTGCCTTATTCCTGTACATTTTCACCCCTTCTTCCATATGTGCAGATCTGTCTCTATGTCCAGCTTTCCCCTTTTTATAAGGACACCAGTCATACTGGATTAGGGCCACCTCCCCCCATGAACTCACTTTAACTTGATTACCTCTGTAAAACCCTAACCCCCAAACAGGTCACGTTCTAAGGTACTAGAGGATTTGGACTTTGTATCTTTTTCAGTGGACACAGTCAACCCCTAACAGGGACCACACTGTAAAATAGATAATGTTTGGAAGGCCTGTCACAATGCACTCATGAATTGTGCATGCCAGTGGGTCATACAATCCTGAGGCACCAGGATAAAGTTACAAGTCTACAAAGGTATCATGATAACACAAAGACAATTACGATGTGAAAAACTATACACTGTGATTTTTACCAAGAAAAGTGAACATTATAACCCAAATTGCATTAAATTTGCTAGGTTTTCGGTTTTCCTATGATCATAGGTATAGAAAATACATGGAGGACGAGACCCCAAAAATCCAGGTTGTTTTCTGTTGTTGTTTGCTTTTTTTTTTTTCTGAAAAGGTACATCAGAGGGTGATTATTGTGCTACTAGGTAGGCTATCACAGAACCCTTTTATATAGTAAACACTCAGAACTCTTTCATGTATTAAGCACAGAGAAGTTGTATATCTTAAACATTCACAAAATCAGATTCACACCCCTTGCCAGGGGGACAAACATCCATTACATAAACGAGGCCACGCCTGCTTTTGCTCATCATCAGCAGAATGAAACCATCCATTCTTCCGGGTTTTACCAGAACATTCATGGCCCTGCAGGCATTGGTCCCAGCAGGTGCCGCTTCAGTTCCTGACATGGTTTCTCAATGCACAGCGTCAGGGCCAGCCCAATGACGAAGGTCAGCAAACAGTGTCCAGAGAAAAGATAGAACTGGAGAGAAAAAGGGGCAGAGTGGATGATGCAATCTTACTACCAGATTCCTGGCTGTACGAAATGCATCTGTAAGACAGAGTGCCCTGAACATTAAAACTAGAAAAAATACAATCAAAGAAAGATATTATCCTGAAGCCCTCCCTCAAACAAAACAAAGGACAACAGGCTCCTCGCAACAACAACAGAACCCGCTACTCCCCCAGCCAGTGGCTTTGTGGCTCCAGCAGAGAAGGGACAGCACAGTCACACCAGAGCCCAGAGCAGGGACTCACCATGTTGGTGTCAGTGTAGTGAATCAGCGTTTCTTGAAGCCCGTTGTAGAGCATGATGAGGATAGGGTGCACCAAGTAGCAAGCGTAACTGATGCTGGCCAGGAGAGTCCAGAGCCGGCAAGAAAGCAGCCAGTTCACCACACCTGGAGGGAACCGACAGTGTGGTTTATGGAGCCTCGGGTGCCTCTTGGCTCCACGGGGCCATCCCCGCTCCCTCGGGGCCCCACTCCTGAGTATGTGAACCTCCTCTAAGAAGGTCTTTATTCTTCTCATTTTTAAGAGAATGTGCCCAAAACAAAGACAAGAGAAAACGAAACAAAAAAACAAAAAAACACTTCCCTTTGTGGGAGTATGAAAAAAATAAGAGATGCTAATATAGAGTTTACAGTCGCCCGGAGCACAAGACATGCCACGTGTAAGACGAGGTGCGAAGTCCTTCCGCCAGCTTCGGTTCTGGCTCCAGATGCAGCACCAGATCCGCTGGGCCTTGGGACAAGGCAGTGGCATCACCAGGCCCGGGACTTGTCATCCGTTATGGAGGAGCTTGCGTTTGGCCAGCTTCTAGTCCCTTTCAGGACAAATATTCTGTAACTTGCTATAACTTCTAGAACTGTGCTGTCCCACATGGTAGCCACTACCCACTTTGAGCTATTTAATTTAAATTAATTCAAATGAAGTACAATGAGACATCCCTCTCTGCAGAGGACTTCCTGCTCTCTGTAGTGGGTTAAAGAGTGGTCTCCCCAAAGCTAGGTCCACCTGAAACCTTGCTCTATTTGGAATGAGGGTCTTTGCAGATGAAATGAAGGTAAGGAATTCGAGATGAGATTATCCTGGAATAGAGTGGGCCTCAAATCCAAAAATGAGTGTCCTTGTAAGAGACAGAAAAGGAGACAAAAAAACACAGAGGAGAGGAACTGGGTGAAGGCCATGTGAAGACAGAGGCAGAGATTGGAGTGATGTACACATGGGCCAGGGAATTCGGGGCTTGCCGGCAGCCATGGGGGTGGGGGGCGGAGAGAGCACGGAACAGATCCCCACAGGGCTTCTGGAAGGACCTTGCCAACACCTTGATTTGGGGTTTCTAGTCTCCAGAACTATGAGAGAATCAATTTCTGTTGTTTTAAGCCAAGAAAAGCAAGCAAGCAAGCAAGCAAGCAAGCAAGCAAGAAAGAAAGGGGGCGCCTGGGTGGCTCAGATGGTTAAGCGTCTGCCTTCAGTTCGGGTCAGGATCCCAGGGTCCTAGGATCAAGTCCTGCACCGGGCTCCCTCCTCAGCAGGGAGCTTGCTTCTCCCTCTCCCACTGCCCCTGCTCATGATTTCTCTCTCTGTCAAATAAATAAATAAAATCTTTAAAAAAAA